CTCTCTCTCTCTCTCTCTCTCTCTCTCTCTCTCTCTCTCTCTCTCTGTGTCTGTGTGAGTGGATACTAAAACCCAACCTTGTGATGTGATGTGAAAGAAATAAACGAGAAGGGAGAGGAGTGAAGGAACAAGAAACCAGGAAAAGACAGAGAAAGGAGGAGGGAGGAGGAAGAGCGGCAAAACAAGGAGGAATGAACGAAAGCAAGGAACAATGTAAATAACTGGGGAGGAGGGGAGGAAAGAAGAGGGGAGAGGGGAGAGGGGAAAGGGGGAGTCTTGTGGCGGTGACGAAATATAGTGGCAGCTCACAGAATAGGAAAGGAGGCAGGCAGACAGAGAAAGAATGTATCATGGTACATTGCAAAATATATATTTGATAAGATCCCAGTAAAAACAAAAATAGAGGAGAAAAAGACAGGGGACTGCGCTCTTTGCTACCAACCCCCCGCTGGACAGCAAAGTGGAGGGAAGGAGAGTGAGGAGGAGAGCAAAGAGAGGAGAGGGAAGGAGAGGAAGAAGCAAATAGAGTGGGGTAGAAGAGCAGAGGGAACGGGAGGGAAGGGGAGGGGAGGGAAGGGAAGGGAGGGAGGGGGAGGGACAGGAAGGAGGTGGTAGGGAAGGAGAGGAAGGAGTGAATAGACAGGGATAAGACAGGAAAAGGGGACCGGGAGGGAAGAGGGCGGCGATGGGCAAGGAAGGGGAGATAGGGAGCAGGAGAGAGGAAGGAAACACGAGGGAGGGGTTTCGCAGAGGGAGGAAATGCATTAAGAAAGAGCAGATCCTGAGAGGAGGGATGGGGGGCTGAAAAAGGGGGGAAGAAGATCGAGACCTGCAAGAGTAAGGATACGAAAGAGACATTTAAGATCTGCATCGAGACTGAAAGTTGCCCCAAATACAGCTACGAAAGAGTGAAATAGGAAGTCAAGGAGAAAGCGAGGCGGGAGAATGTGGAAGAAAGACGACATGAGAGAGAAATTAGGAGCGACTAAGAAGAGGAGAAGAGAAGATTGGCGGCAACAGCAGACCTGAGAGCCAAGGAATGGCGCGATGGAGATTCTGGAAAAGACGGAAAATAGGCATGAAAAATAGAAAAAATAAGGGGTAACTTCAGTAGAGTCACAAAAACAAGTTATAATTGCAATATGGGGCAAGATACAGTTCGCAATTGCACTTCGGGCACCCTACCTGGACCGAAAGCTGGGTTGTATACATTGCCAAAACTGCAATTCGAAACTGTATCTTTGCCCATACTGCAATTATAACTCTTTTTTGTGACTCCCGCGTAGTTTCCCCAAAAAATAAATTAAAAAAAGGCACGAAACTGAAAAAAAAAAAAAAAAAAAAAGGCAGGAAACCAGAAATGGCCGACGACAAAATCTCGTGTGGAGCAAAAGGGCAAAAGCTCATTTGATTTTGATTTCGATTTCCAGTACGAATACAAACTGTGAGAGCATGGCCTATCGATATATTAAAAAAAAAAAAAAAGAGGAACTGAGAACAAAAAATCAAACTAAAACGGATAAGACCAAAAAACAAAAAAAATCAAAAGATAGCAGATAAGACAAAAGAAACTTCGATACGAATAACACAAAAAAAAAAACTGAGAGCAGCTAATAAGACAAAAAAGTGTCAAACAAAAACAGAACAAACAACGCTTGGAGGAGAGGGGGGGGGGAGGAGGAAGGCGGGGGGAAGAAAGGGGAAGGAGAGAAGAACGATCAAAAGGGGGGGGAGGAATGGAAAAGAAAATAAATGGCTAACAGAAGATCGAGAGGAATGGATAGGAAACAAGGAGAG